CATTTTAATCATGAGAATAGGAGAAATGTTATTTTTAGACTGATTCGACATTATTCAAATAACACGGCTTTATTAGTTTAGTTACGGACTTAAATATATCTTGTGGGTGGTAAGTACAGGTGTAATTGGGTGGTTCGGTTATCCAGACGACTACTACTAGTTCCGTCCCGTGAAAGCGGGTGCATAGTTCGTTCGTTCGATCCGCCGCTATCGGCCAGGGATCAGTTTATCGGTCGATAGCGGCGAGGGATAATTAAGCAGTTTATCGGCCGATAGCGGCCGATAAACTCGTTCCGTTCGGGAAGCGGCTGTACTAGCAGCGTTAGGCCCAATCGGTAACACCGGTCCTATCGGTAGGCTTGCGTTCGCACCGGGTTCGTCCTGCGGTCGTATAGCGGCTCGTCTCCGTTCGGGAAGCGTGCGTCCTGCGTTCGTGCCACAAAAAGTGGATACTTGGGCGTAATTCTAACTGTACTAACATATGATTGTATGTGTCAATTAGCATTTCCATTCAAGCATTTTGTTTAACAACAATTGATTTTGATCTGTTATCTAACATGTTATTTCCAGGCAATTTCAATTGTATATCACATGATTACTTAACAGTTATTATGACGTCACATGGCGAACCCTAACTTGCACCGTAACTCTGTAAATGATACTGTACAATTGTTATGATGACGGTTGGCCTAGCCATCCGAAATATGTAGACCTACCTTTACGGAAAACTTGATGTTGACGCACCTACACTTACCTATTTATACTTGAATACTTCGGTATCCACCACGGATCGCTACACCGGTGCATTAACCGACCGCTTTCCACAGGGCGTTGAATTTCCTTACCTTCTAATTGTGTTGGTTTACCAATACCTTTATTTCTTTCTACATCTCGTATTAAAAAAGTGTCATCTGCATATTGAGAATTTATAATCTGACAGTCCTAAACTATTGATACCAGTAATATTTCTGTTATTTCTTATCGGAATTATCAATATCTCTGCACAAATTATAAAAATGTAAGGTGTTATTTGATCGCCTTGGCGACAGCTACGTTTTATATTAAAGAACGATTATAAGATACTCCCTGATTATTGCAGTACAAGGATTAGAATGTAATATTTTTACCCAATTTCTCAAATCTGAAGTCGTAAGGACTTTATTTATAAATTACCAAGAGACCGAATCAAATGCATTTTTGAAAATCAATTAGCAATAACACTCCAGGGATATTATGTCTTCAGCATATTGCATGATGTCATAGATGAGCCTAGTATTTCCCCCTAAATAACGCCCTGATATGAATCCTGTCTGATCTGATTTTATCAATTTTTCTAAAACTAATTAAAGTCTACTAGCTATAGATCCAGGTGTAATTTTGTCAACAATATTTCAAAGCTGCTTCCAAAAAAAGTTTTAAAAAAACTTCATCTGAACTCGGGCTATTATTTTCTAATTCCTTCTCTTTCCTATCCCAACTATTCCAAATTTATATCATGATGATTTTTAAGCTTCTAAATTTCATCTATTAGGTTATTTTCTTTAATTTGCCTTTTTTTTGTACTGGATGAGTAAGAAATTGATTTGCCTCTTATTTCCATTAACCAAATTTCTAAAAATAGTTGGTCATCTATTACTAACTGTAACACTATTTCAGGAATATTATTGATAAATTCTGGATAATAGATTTGGATACATTGTTGAGATTTTATAGCTGTTATAGTATTATTTACAAGGTTAAGATGTTCCTGGTCATGCAACAAAGAGTTATAAAATATCCATAATCCTTTACCTTTTTTTGAATTGGCTAAACTTTAATGTAAATTTTGGGAAGGAATGGTTTAGATTTATAGTCTGAATCAACACTTGTATTACTTACACTTTGAAAGAAACTTCCAGATACTATAACAAATCTAGCTTCGCTTGTTTTATTGGACTACTTTTTCGTCATGTGTATTTTTTGATATTAGGATATTGTTCTCTAAAAATATCAACTAGATCTTAATGTTCTATTGTTTCTAAACCCTTTTCCCAAGCCTTCGGATTGTTAATTTGTTTGTAATTCTTATCATGATCTAAACCAGGATTAAGAACCAAGTTGAAGTCGCCACACATTATACAATTATTATTTTTTAAGTTATTAAAAGTGTTCTCAATGTTTCAAAGAAAGCTTGGCTATCAGATTGAGGACCATAAATAGTTATCAGAGTAAGTTTTCTCCCCTCAATTACTAAATCCAGTGCAAAAAAGTTCCCTGTCAAATCTTTCTTTTCTTTCAGTACATTCATTTCAAATTTGTTATTTATCACAATTACAAGAATTGGAGTTAAACGAATTAAACTAACAGTCATAGCCCCATGCATTCCGTATTAAATCTTCCTTTTCCTCAGTTAAATGTGTGTCTTGAAGACACTATATATTGTATTTCCTATCTTTGAAATATGTAAACACATCCTTACGTTTAACTTGTCACCTAAACCCTGGCAATTTGCTGATAAGGTATTAATTCCCTCCACTACTGTTTGTAAAATTACTAATAGACCACCACATATCAAACTTGCTTGACGCAATCATAATTAAGAAAATTAAGGTATTTTTAGAATCAGGTAAATACAAAAAAAAGGACAATGAATAGCTGTAATATGCACTCTTATTAAAGACAGTAATTATATTTCCAGATATCTCCTTCCACTTTTTGCGGGATCTATCTCTAATTCTACAAGACAACCCTTTCAACAGAGAAAGGGAAAATATGAAGAAACATACGAAATAGTTAATACTCGCATATCGGTGATGTCTTACTTACAAAACTATTTTATTGAATTTATTTTTCAAAATTATGATAAAAAAGTTAAATTTTTCAGGGTTATTATTTAAATTACAACCCTAACAACAAGATAGAAACAATATTAGTACACATTCGTTAAACTTATCTGTTTTGAATACATTTCAATAATAATATTTCTTCGAGTTTTGATACCTTTCTCGAGAAGGGCACAATCTAATGAAAATCATATCCTACATTCACTACGTATCACATACTTAGTGAATGTAGGATATAATTTTATTCAGATTGCCTCGGTATGACCCAAGAGGGTTTCGTATTTCCTGAGCCCGATACGCCGAAGGAAATACGAAATCCTGTAGGGTCATACCATCCTGTATATCCTGCCAAAAATCCGTGTAACGAATTTAATACCCCATTTGAGTCTTTTATAATAAACTTTTCTGTTGTCAAATTAACAATGGCACAGTACCTCATTTAGTTTCGTTTTATCAAATTCCTCGAACTGTTCTTCCTGATTCTATTCTTTTAAATACGTCCTCAGCATATTTGCCGCTCGTCTGTTCGAGTTTTGTGGCACATAGTTAGCCCTTTTGGCGAGTATTTCCTCATCAGTATGCGAAGTGAAACGTTTTGCCATTTTATAAACAGCAAAGCAGATGACGAATGCGAGTTGTCCCCCGTTGCCCGGCCGCAATATACAAAGACACGTGACCCGTATATCCCTTGTAAAATCACGTGATTCCACCGTATTACTGCTGATAATCACGTGACATGACCGTATACCCCCTGATATTTTCGTATACCCCCTGAGATACACGAATGCGGTTTGGTACACTGTAGTTTTTAACCAATCATATTCCTAGGTTTTTCTAAAATTGGTAATAAGATGCAATGTTTAAAAAACCAAAATATTATTTACAAAGTCTTGTTCATGTATTGGTAATATAACTCAATTTCAAACGTAAATTGATATGAAAGTTCGAATGTATGGATTTGTATATTTTGACTAAACCGTAAATTTGATATGGTTAATTTAACTTTGTTGTCACAAATGTCAAATGATAAATTTACTTGATCTACAAAAATCCTTTTAACCTTATTGCAGTGTAGAATGTAAGAGTTATGTCCCTTAATTAAATTAAATTAGTCAGACGGTATTGTGTATGTTTCTGTTATCAAGGTAGCAGTGTAGAGTAGCGTACGGTGGTAATGGGTGATATGTTTTGTACAACAAATAACCACTGTATTATTATCTATATCAAAATAAATAATAAAAAAAAAAAATGACATATCATGATGAAATGGACTATGTGGGCTTCATAATTTAAAAAAATAAATAAATAAAAAATCGAATTTGGTTTGAGACTACAGTTGTGGGCATTTGCAAATCTGTGTCTAAACACAAAAGCTAGCTTTTCATGTAGTCTAATTTTTGTAATCAGCACATGTGTTAATGTTGTAAAAAAAATCCCCCGAAATGACCTATGCTAAAACGTGAGTATCTTTTTTACCGAGTAGGCAATATCTTATTTAAGACAGGTGTTAAGAAAACAAATACTACTTGCGAGGGTCAAATTTTGGGTTAAAGAATCGTGTATTTGTTTTGCAATTTTGGTGTTTTTTTGATGTGGCAACCATGGTTTCCACAAGAGTATCAGGAAATATTTTGTTAATGTGGTTTTCATTAATTTTTATTACGCAGTAATTTTTCATTCTATATATTGGATAATCTGCAGTGCGTTTTCCGTTGCATATAAACATGTATGTACCTGTACCGTAACGCGATACCTAAACGATGTATTATTCGATTCGTTGCCAAGTCAGAAGGAAACATCTAATGTTTTTGACAAAAAAAAAAGAAGTTAACATACCGAACTGACTATATTTTATATAAGTGTTATGTGGCTTACCACGGACTTCGGTCTATCTTCGTCCGTACCTGTGTACAGCTACATAGCGCACTTTTTGGAATTGAATTGAACTCATTATCGAATGATGTCAACTAGATTCTTAGCAGATGTTTTTTTGCATTTATAAACTCTATAAACAACTATATATATGTATAGGTCATGTAGGGCCCATATTGTGTCTTCCCCAATTTGATAATATATATGATACACAGATACACTTGGTAGCAGCTGTACACACATGTATACACACCGCCAAATGTTTACGTATTATGTGTAATTGAGTCATACTTACAAGGAAGTTCGGACCCCGTATTTGACTTGATATGTTTCTACAGAGTTAATTATTTGTGTTTGTGAAATACAACATCGGAATCTCACGAAGTGCCGCTTATATAATGTAATTACATGACGGATAATTAGCCCGACATGTTATTTCTACTGCTCGTATTCCTGTCATCGTCAGGTAAGTTATGTGTTGTTTTGTTTCATTTCGTATTGTATGAATTGTACCTGTATTAAAGTTCAATATGTTGATCTTCATATTACCGGATTATTACGTTTCTATAGTACATGTTTATAATGTATGTGCTACAATGTATTGCAAGTAATCAACACATAGGTTACATGTAGTGCAACATGAAACATTGGTTGACTAATGATATGCATACCCAGCTTATTGTCTCCGCGCTTGCACCAATTTTTGTCCGATTACTTCTCGAAAAAAAAGTATAGATCAATGCACATAGTAAGCATAACACTTTCTGTCTAACCTCATAAGTATTGGCAGCCAAATATCCAAAAACGAAAGATTATATTCTTTATAGAAGTAAAACATATGTCCATGTATGTTAATGTGGAATCAATTATATGAACATTTTGATTGATTTATGACATTTGATAACTTTCATATTGTCTTTTGAGATCATTAAAACCATGTATGTCATACAGTGATAATGATGACCGATTTGACCTATGACCTTTAGTCACCGATATGTTAATATTTAGTAAAACTGAACAATATAGTAGAATGTATCTTCGTTTATACATACACTAATTGTTTAATGTCATATACCATACATATGTCAGAAAGCTTTGGAACTCATGGCCTTTTGTTTTACATCAGATTCACCCAACTGTTGAATACTATATACATGGTCACACTTAACAAAAAGGAGTCAGTCGTTCTGCCAACGTATACATGGCACGGAGAGAAGTTCTGTTTGACATCTAATTACCAGTAAACATCACGCGTTATCGCGATATTAATGCAATACAAAACAAGTGTCTGACTTGCTCCTTAAGAAGCGATAAGAGGGTAAAATGCATAATCTTAAAATTGAATAACCATTGCAAGAGATATTTTCTGGAAAAAAAATATTGGCCTTGTGCGCTTCTATAGTCTTCGATGCTTAAAATTGAGGTCATGAGCATACATGCACTTTTGTATTTCAATTCAAATGATCATTTATCTTTGTTGCATTATGGTATTTACTGCACTGTAGATGCATATCTTTCTATTGTGACATACGTATATGGTACTGATGTAGATATATACCCGTCAGTTGTGACATCACAAGATGGTACTGATGTATATGTATACCTGTTTGTTGTGACGTCAGAACATGGCACTGATGTAGATATGTACCTGTCTATTATATCAACAGCAATAGTACTGATGTATATGTATACCTGTTGGTTGTGACGTCAGAACATGGCACTGAAGTAGACATATACCTGTCTATTATGAAATTAGAAAATTGTATTGATGTAGATATGTACCTGTCTATTATAACAACAGCAATAGTACTGATGTAGATATATCCCTGTTCATTGTAATATTAGTCGATGGTTCTGATGTAGATATATAAACTATGTATTTTCACATCAAAAGATGGTACTGATGTATATATATACCTGTTTATTTTTAGCTTACCTGGTCCTAATGATGTAGATATTTCTACGTTTTGTAATAGTATCCCAACGTGTTACTTTCTGTAACAATTCCGCCGCTGCCACCAGTTCAAACTTATTGAACAACACAACAAGTACATTGATATTTACACTTTAATTACAGCACAAGTATTTTAATCCGTCATATGATATACAAGTGTTCACCATTGTGAACGCAATCTTTCCACTCTAAGCTAATCTCATACTATCAACTGCAAGACTACACAGACCTAAGACTACAACTACAACTACTATTCTTATTAACTTCCTATTTCTCCAACTTTCTAACTCTCATCTATGTCTCTAGACCTCTCAACTCGGTCTCCCTTACTCAACATTTTCTCTCCAACTCCCCAACTCTACTCCTCTATTCCAACTCTTTAACTCTACTCCTCTGTTCCAACTCTTCAACTCTACTCCTCTGTTCCAACTCCCTAACTCTCCTCTTCTATTCCAACTCCCCAACTCTACTCTCCTGTTCCAACTCTCCAACTCTCCCAAACTGAACTACCTTATTAATCTGTCCCCTTATCAAAATCCTGCTACATTAAAAATGTTGATAAGTTAGCATAATCCTGCTAAATATGACCCCTACCCGACAAGGTTAAACTGGCCATAACTCCTGATAAATTTGACCCCAGGTCAGCATCAGCTCGCTGCGGAGGCACAACCACTATGTCAAAGACTAGACTTCCCCCACCTAGACTACAGACGGTCACACTAATGTACAGATCCTAAACTTTATCGCAAGCACAATGATCTACGGCTACTTAGCTACTATCTTCAAATAAAAGTCACTGACCACGAGCCAAGGCTAATAAAATGCATAGCTAATCATCTGTACACTTTGAACAATTAAACGGCTACTAAATTCGTAACAATATGTACCCGTCTATTGTGACATCAGACGATGGTACTGACGTAGATGTATACCTGTTTGTTGTGACGTCAGAACATGGCACTGATGTAGACATATACTTGTCTATCGTGAAGTTTGAAAATTGTACTGATATAGATATATACACTTTGTATTGTCACATCAGAAGGTGGTAATGATGAAGATATATACCTGTCAAAAAAATATGTGTATTGTTACATTAAAGGATGGTACTGAAGTAGATATATCCCTGTTTATTGTGACATCAGAACATGCTTATGGTGTAGATATATACCTGTGTAGTTTTACATCAAAAAGGGTACTGATGTAGATATATATATGTTTATTGTAACATCAGAAGGTGGTAGTGATGTATATATATACATATGTGTTGTTACATTAGAAAATGGTACTGATGTAGGTATATACCTGTTTATTGTTACATCTGAAAAGGGTACTGATTTAAAAAAAAAAATGCCAGTGTATTGTAACATTAAAAGATGGTTATGATCTAGATATATACCTGTTTTTGTAACATCAGAAGCAGATATGCACCTGGTATTGTAACATCAAAATATGGTACTGATGTAGATATACACCTCTCTAGTGTGCCATCAGCAAATGGTTCTGATGTAGATATAAATATGTTTATTGTGACGTCAGAAGATGATACTGATGTATATATATATACCACTCTATTGTGCCATCAGCAAATGGTTCTGATGTAGATATAGATATGTTTATTGTGACGTCAGAAGATGGTACTGATGTAGATATATACCTGTTTATTGTAACATCAGCAAATGGTAATGAAGTAGATACATTTGTGGGAACGCACGACGTTACACGATGTGCGATGTGCGCGCGATATGCGATGTGCGTGCGATATGCGCACGGAATGTGCACGATGTCTGCACGATATGCGAACGATTGACATCTGGACGATTATTGCTTACGCACATTTGTGCGGACGATGGGCGATGAGAATCGTGGTTGGTTTAAATTGAGAAATGACTTAATGATAAATACGGCCTTGTGTTCAAACATATAAACTTGATTTTTAAGTATATTTCTATATTCTAGCTATATGTATCAGCTGCTCTTTTTATCTATATTTTCTTAATTTAGAAATGGTGTTTTCGGTGATTTTTAAGCGACCCAAACCGTCACATTTAAAATAACACATACACGTATTGACACGGTCACGTCAGCAGGTAAACATAGTCACTTTTTATCTGTACCTGGACTGTAGTTTTCCACGCCCGGGACACTTACGTAGCTCGCCAAGGTGTACAAATCGAGTTAATGGGGTGATATATACCGAAACGAATGCAAATGACAACTACTTAACGTCCAATTGTGCTTTCACAACGGTAATACGGTATCACATATCAACTCTCTTTGTAAGGTACGGGTCAGGTAAAACTCCGGTCAATCATCAAAGAAAAAGTATTTACCTGTTCCGTTACTTGGAGGCTAAACACATTCTTGATAGTCCAACGGTCACTGTATTGTTGTGTAACACTCATGGTAAAATTAAACATAATCCTAATTAAAATGATGAGCAATTTATATATACAGTGCTCTTTATTCCATACGAGGGCTCCGGATTCTACGGAATCGCACATTTGTGCGGGGAGAAGCGCACATCGGGGCGAACGATTGTTAAATCGCACAGTTGTGCACACCATGTGTGGACAATGTGCGGACGGTGTGTGCGCGATGTATGCACGATGTGCGCACGCTATTGTTGGTGCGTTGTGCGGTCCCTTAACTGTATATACCTGTACATTGTATCATCAGAAGATGGTACTGATTGAAATATATATCTATGTATTGTTATATTAGAAGATGGAACTGACGTAGATATATACTTGTGTATTGTAAAGATATATACCTGTGTATTGTAACATATATATAACTGTTTATTGTTACATCAGAAAAACGGAACTGACGTAGATATATAACTGTTTATTGTAACATCAAAATATGGTTCTGATGTAGAATATACCTGTCTATTGTAACATCAGCACTGATACTGATTTATATATTTATCTTTGTATTGTAGCATCAGAATAAAATATTGATGCAGATATATACCTATGTATTGTAACATTAAATGATGATACTGATGTAAATATGTACCTGTGTATTGTAACATCAGAGGATGGTACTGATTTAGATATATACCAGTGTATTGTAACATCTGAAAAGGGAACTGATTTAAATAAATAACTTTGTATTGTAACTTCAGTAGATGATACTGATGTAGTTATATACCTCTCTATCGTGACATATACCTCTCTATTGTTAAAATAGAATATAAGTACTGGTGTAGATATTTGGCTTTGTATTGTAACATTAGTAAATGCTACTGATGTAGATACATACCTGTCTATTGTGACATCAGAAGGTCATATTTATTGTGACATAAACAGATGATACTGATATAGATATATACCAGTGTATTGTTACATCTGAAAACGGTACTGATTTAAATAATTAACTTTGTATTGTTACATTAAAAGATGGTACTGATGTAGATACATATCTGTCTATTGTAACATCAGAAGGCGTGTTTTTTGTAATATTATTGTTGAAGGAGAAGAATTTATATTAAAAAATGGAAAAAAATCAAGTAACTTTAGATCTCGGAATATTGTTTATGCAATGATCTGTGCAAATGGTTCTGAATTTTACAAATGCAAATGATAAATTCTATGTAATTCCTATATATCAAGCTACAGAAGAACTGTACAGCGAGAGTCAAAAGAATAAATGTTAATCGATATAATAAAACCTGGTTTGAATTGTTCTAACAGCACAGATTGTTGCATGCATAGATGTAGCTATACTCATGCCTGTAGCTTTATAAAACATATGGAGTTATGTAACACCACATGTTTGGTTCCTCAAATGTTGACATTAAACTGCATTGTTAATTTCGGTGTCAATTTTGGTAGGTTGTATTGTGATGTCACAATGCATCATGATGTCATCACTTTCTGTGTTGTGTTGTTGTTCTGTCAACATGAATGAATAAATTCTTGTCTTTTGTTTATGTATATAAAGGATCTTACATGAATTTCTATTTCATATGAGATTTTTGAAACAAGTCTAAGCATTTTCAATTTAGCGAGCCTCTGGCGAGCTAAAATGAAAAATTCGTGACGAGTTTCATAAATTTCATATGAAATGATAACGAGTGTAAGATCCTTTTTATCGCATAATCAAGATTGTGGCATTTATTCGTGTAAAACGGCGATTTTGATGCAACTTTGAAATGTAAAAAACTGCCATTTGACTCCAGTGCGTAGGTTTGTCACGTCATGTACCTGTCCTAGGCGTGACCTCGCAATTGAAACAATTGAAACTTAGAACCAATCACAGGGCTGATAGGTCATATTACATGGTTTAATACGCAAAGAAATAATACACGAGTAAATTCACTGGATAACACAGTACATTATGTGATAATATATTTATCTTGAAACATAGAGCGTATGTAGACAGGCTATTTCCTATAAACTGAGATTTTTTTTCATATCATCTTGACACACAATTTGTGAAAAGAAGGAATTTCAAGTTCTTCAAATCGTAACACTGCTATCAACAACCTATAAAACATATTGTTATATTTTAATCTTCGCCTTGCTGCCTGGTTGAAACAAAAGAAACCTTTAAGCAAACAAGCCTTGTCAGTGACTGTGGTGTTATACATAAATATATACTACATATGTGAAATAGACTATAGTAGGCGTTATGCATTCTGATATGGCCTATGGCGACAACCTCGTTTTGGGTGGGGATTCTCCAAGATGGCTCCAATGTAACAACATGTGCTATGTGTGTGTTTACAATCGTAATACAGTTTGTCATACAATGCCTGGGTCTGAATCGTCTGTACAACAACATAACAGTGACAGAGGTTGTAAAGATGACCGAAGGTTATCAAACCTAGACACGTGCGTTTCATTTATTGCTTTAGGGAAGCACTTTGATAGGTAGTACATGTACAAAAAAAAAAAAAAAAAAAAAAAAAAAAAATTGCATGCAAGTGAACAGTTCCTGACGGAATGGTCCTTTAACAATAAAAAGCATATAACAGAGATGTTTGTGATCGCCGGTGTAATGTTCAATAACGTGAGTTCCAAAGTATAGCGACAAAGAAAATTGTTCTATTATATTTCTATTCTACGCCGATGACATTGTACAACTAGCTTCACCAAAATTGGATTTATTTAAACCCTTATCGACCACGTTGATGGTATAAGTCATAAACACTTTAAGTTAACCGTAGCAAATCCAGTGCAGTTTATTTTCGCCATATCAGTCGTATAAGAACTGATAATCGTTCTATTTGAAGGATGAACTTATATTAGTGAAGGGCAAATAATTTTTTTTTACTTTGGACCGAGGAACTTACAAAACTGCTTACAAATAACTGTGTTTGTCAGCAAGCCGTACACATCTCCTAATCTACGGTGAGACGTTCACCGTAGATTTACAGTGAAAAGTGAAATCACTGGTTTCTAACTTATTGTTTATTTGAATATGATGACTGATACACTGTACATTGATACACTGTACACTGATACACTGATACACTGTACACTGATACACTGTACACTGATACACTGATACACTGGTACACTGGTACACTGGTACACTGGTACACTGATACACTGATACACTGTCCACTGATACACTGATACACTGTACACTAATACACTGTACATTGATACACTGTACACTGATACACTGCTACACTGTACACTGACACACTGATACACTGTACACTGATACAATGTACACTGATACACTGTATACTGCACGCTGATACACTGTACACTGATACACTGTACGCTGATACACTGTACACTGATACAGTACTGATACACTGATACACTGATAGATACACTGATAGATACACTGTACATTTGGCTTCCAGCCGAAACGATATGCATTATCATAAATATACTGTTTGTTTGATTTTGTTCTTTTCATGTATGCATTTTTATCATTATATATGTAAGTATCAGACGAAAACTTATTTGGCACCCTGTTACATTTGTCAATTTATTTCAATTCTTTATATTCATAAATAATCACTTAAAATAAATTGAGTCTAATCATTTGTATCTGTATTCCGCGTTCCGCATCCGCAATTGCTGTCGCCTAGTCTCTTATGTTACCTTCGTTTTGATTTGAATGTATGAGAGTGTGACGTAATTGTGTATGCTATTATATACCTGTTTGACCAGTGACAAACTGACACCTGTCGCAATGCGTGATATTTTCCGCGTTAATGTTTTCTTCGCTTCTTTATCCTAGCGTTTTTAATTACTTCCTATCTGTTCCTCGTAGAGGCAACATCGCCATACTTCCAGATTCTAGAGATACATACAGAAACATAACCTTTCATCATGATTATACCAGTTGATCCCCGGTACCACATACAGGAGAAATACATTACCCACTGAAATGAAGGCATTTAGTACTGGTCATCTTTTGTAAAAGAAGCTAAACACCACACAACATTGAATCTAAAATGTGTGTAAAACTATTAAATGAACAACTTAACAAATATGGAAATAATGATTGTTATAAAGGTAATTGACCTCATACCTTAAACCACTTTATGCGAAGTAATTTATGTTGTGACAATAGTCAAGATAATTTGCGGGTTCATGAAAGCATGCATCATATTATAAGTTAACGGACACGTATATATACGTAAAGGTACATCTCACAATACGATACGTTCCCGGTACGATACTTACGATACGATACGTATCACGATACACATTTTTGCATGAAAACTCAACTTCATAATTATTAAGTGCAGGATTGTACAGGGTTTTGAAATAGTCTTAAAAGGTAAATATTATGAAAATATATTTGTATAGGAGTTAAGAACCTTTGGGTATGACTGCACAGTTGATTCAATCTTTACTTAAGGAATTCAAAATAATATGTAAACTTTTTAGTGAAGAAATGATTGTTAAGCTCAGTATTTGTATAATGTATCGCTATACAGTCAACTAAAATAATTCGATCATATACCTGATACGATATGATGCGATGAATCGTTTTAACTCTAAAGTAAATCTTGTCAGTAATACGTCCCTTTTCCATTATAAACTACCTTGTAACACAGATGCTGTAACACTGACCGGGTCGTCTGAGTACGCTGTCCCCGGGAGTGAGTTTACACTGAGGTGTGACGTACCAGAGGAAGCAAGCCAAGTCGAGTTGCACCGCCGCGATGACGTAACTGCTATACAAGGTAGTATACAAGTACGTGATGGTCAGTGCTACAACACCTCTACTACTACTCCTGTCCTCTGTAGCCCGGCTATCTGTTCCTGTACTACCACCCCGACTGACTATGGTACAGAGTTCCAGTGGATCATACAGCCACAGACATTGGACCTTGGATCTCTGTGGTATTGTATTCGTGTCAACGTAAGGCTACCTGATGCTGACCGGGTCGTAAACAGTCCTGACTATGCACTTAGCGTGGCAGGTAAGTGAACCATGTTTGTGTTTGTAAAAAATAATCCATCTAGAATAGTTTGACTTCAGAATGGCTATAAAGGTTTGAGTTAGATATTGTTTATACAATGATCTGTGGCAGTTGTTTTGAACTTTACATTCGTTGTGAATTACGCCAACGTATCACTCTTCACAGACAACAGACACAGAGTGACAATCTGAGTTTTTAACTGTCAATACAAATATACATCCTTTTAGTGCAAAAGATAAATCCCGATGAAATTTGAATAAAGATAGTAGGAGTATCAATAGTATATATCAAGACATCTCTTAAAGTATTTTAACCCCACAAATCGTTTTATGAATGTCAGATTTTAATTGTCTACTGTTAGCTTCGAGCTATGGGGAATTTTCCTTTAGCTCAGTGGTAGAAAGTCCGACTAGAAAGTCTTGGATCGCGGGTTTGATCCCCGGTGCAATCACTCTACTCTCTCTTTTACACATGAAAGCATAATACAAATGCATTCGAAAAGTCTGTTGCTATACTCATTCCTGTAATGAAATACCGATTGCTGTAACTGCAAATTAGTATTTCCGCAAATGTTAACGTCAAAGTGCATTGCTTTGTTTTGGTGTAATATTTAGTATGTAGTATTGTGACGTCATAACTGATCATGACGTCATCATTTTATAGGTCGTGTTGTTGTTCTGTCAACTTGAATAACCACATCCCCTGTAAAGATGTGAAAGTACTTAGGGATTAAAGAGAAACTCATTTATTTTATATTTATGTAATAGTCGTCACTACTCTCGATATACGACAACTCCCGGGTTCGTTGTTTACTGGTTAATTACTTATAAAACCCTGTAACATGAAAGACATCATATAACTATACATAATGATACAACCATTCATACACTCAAACGATGAGATAAAACATGTCAAACATATCCCTGGGCGTATCCAGTCACATTAACTATTAGTTATAATAGTTGAATATGTCTACATTACAACTGTGATATTCAATCTATATATTATATTTACAATATCAGGGTATCTCATTATTCAACACAATTCAACATAATTACACATATATGAAATACCCATCTCTTCAATATGAAGAGGGTTTTATCGGAAAAAAGTCCGCCGAGTCCTCAGTCTAACTTGTTTTACCCCGGTCACACATTCACGGATCGTCTCGCCGGATCCACTACGGATAGAAACTCACAGATGACCCCGGAATATGGACCACGGTTTCACTACGGTTAAGGGCTAAGTTAGTTGACAACGGGGAGTGATATGGATTGCTGCGGTTTGGTTTGGTTTAGTACGGGTTAACACGAATAAGAACGGTCTGGCACTGATAAGTACGAACTCGCACGGAGCATAACGGACCTGCCACGGTAAGTAATCAGTATACAAACTCCCGCGCTCGCGTGTTCATTCCACGACTTATTTTTTAACAGCTCACCTGGCCCGAAGGGAAAAGTGAGTTGATGGCGTGGCCCGGCGTCCGTCGTCCGTCCGTCGTCCGGTGGCAATATTTTAATTTAAACAAAATACCTAGAGTGATGATATTTAGCCAGAAACTGAGATGAATGGCTACCAATTATGTTCAAATAAATAACATTCACCATTATTCAATGTCACAGGGGTAAAATATGTAAAAAAAACAAAACACTTTAAACAACTTCTTCTGAATAACCAAAATACCCAGGGTGATGCTATTTGTCCAGCGGCATGCTGGGATGAGTAATACAAAAGAGCTATGGCGGGGTGCTTTGGCGGGTTGCTATGCATATTTCCCAAAGTCTATCATCCGCTACAATGTAGTGCGCGCGTCCAACAGTGCACTGTTATGACGCGTCCTCAGAAATTGTATAGGTAGCTCTATCATAATTCCGTGTCTAAGAATAGATAATTGTAATCAGACGAATTTAAGGCCGTGGCTATTAATACATGCATTTCTCTATGAAGACGCAACAACATGTTTATTTTACGTTATTTATGTTAATCTAAAACAAAGCATACGCTGTATGTAACACAATAGTCTTTGTTGTGCATATTACATCACGTAATCAATAAAGATATTCAAAAGTTGGTCCTCGGATAGGGAAGTATTCAAGGGTTCTTTTTAAGTCTGGGAAGCCCCGTCACTTTCAAATATATAGTGAATATGGCTATATTTGCAGTATTATATTTACAATACCGAATATTTCAACAGTTCAACAAATCCTATTCAATTGGTTTAATATCTAATCCATGCATTTTCCCTACTAAAATATATTTACTCGTCGGTATGTTTTTCCTTTTTCTGAATAAAAGAATAATAAATAATAATATACAACATTTATATAGCGCCCTATATAATTTGTAAAATTACTCTAAGGCGCTTTGCAACATATGTATAATAGTAATGGTTATAGTTGTGAAAACAAACAGCAAAGGCTTGCAATCACTTACATTTAGCAACCAATGTGCATATAATTGGACAAAAAAGGGTGGTATTTACATGACGTCTTTGCAAAGATTCTAAAATGCAGACGTGAAGAGGTGATTTGTTATGTCCCTCTTGAACTTGGCCAGGGCATTTTACTTCCTAATAGCAGATGGTAAGCTATTCCACAACGTAGCCGAAACCCTACCAAAGCATCTGGTTCCGTAGGTCAAAGGACGAGATTTTGGGACACACAACAAAGATTCTGACTCCGACCGCACTGATCTTGACGGCTGATACAGGGTAACAAGCTCCTGTAGGTACTGAGGAGCTGTTCCATTCAGTGCCTAGTATGTGTATACCATAATTTTGTACTGCGACCTGTATCGTACAGGTAACCAGTGCAACGAATAAAGCGCAGGTGTGAGGTGCTCTCTCTTTCGAGTACGCGTAGCTAGCCGTGCTGCAGTGTTCTGGACCCTTTGCAGACGACTAGTTAGTTTGTCAGATATACCACAGAGCAGGGCGTTACAATAATCCAACCGAGAGGTAGCAAGTGAATGCACCAAAATCTTGCATGCATAATCAGTTAGAAACTGCCGAATACAGCCGATGTTCCTGATCTGGTAGTAACGGGATTTGGCAATAGCGTTCACTTGTTTCTCCATGTTCAGGGAACTGTCAAAGTATACCCCTAGGTTGTTAACAGCTGGAACAGTTTCAATAGTTCTGGCACCAACCTTGAGCTGGAGAGCCATTGTTTGCTGACACTTTTTAGAAAGGACGATTAGTTCAGCCTTTTCCTGATTAAGTTTCAGCATGTTGGCGTTCATCAAGATACTGATATCTGTCAGACAAGCTTCCAGACTTTCTGAGACTGTATTCCAACTGTCCTGTGAATAACCAGGATGAAGATATTAGGTCTGTAGCATGCTGGGAAGAATTGCTACCCAGTTGTTCAAATAAATGACCTTCAACCATATTCAATGTCACAGGGGTCAAATATGTAAAAAGAAAAACACCTTTAAACATCTTCTTCTGAATAACCAAAGTGTCCAGGGTGATGATATCAAGCCTGGAGCATGCTGAGATGAAGGGCTCCGAAGTTTGTTCAAATTAATTACCTCCACTCATATTCAAGGTCAAATGGGCCATTTGTCTAGAAAACCCTTTAACCCTTTAACCAACAACTTCTGAATAACCAAAAAGACAAGGATGATGATATTAGGCTAGTAGCATACTGGGAAGTGGGGCTACCAACTTCGATAAAATGAAGAACTTTGACTAAAATTTTAGGTTACAGGGTTCAAATAGTATAAAATCTTAAAACTTCTGATTAACCATAATGCCAAGAATGTCAATATCTTGCCAGTAGCATACTGAGATGAAGGGCTACCGAGTTTGTGAAAATGCATGACCTTGACTTATATTCAAGGTCAGATGAGTCGAATATGTTCAAAATATTTTAACAACTTCTTCTAAATAACCGAAAGGCGCAGATTGATGATATTAAGCCCGTTACATGATTGTATGATGGGCTACAAGGTGTGTTCAAATGAATTACCTCGACTTATATTCAAGGTCACAGGGATCAAATATGTTCAAAATCTAAAAACGACTTTTTCTAAATGTGGCCAGTAGCAAGCTTGAAAAAGGGGCTACCAAGTTTGGTAAAATGAATGACCTTGACATGTATTCAAAGTCACAGTGGTCAAATTTGTAAAAATCTTTAAACGATTTCTTCTGAATAACTATGAGGCCCCGAATGATGATGTTTGGATATGCATGGATGAAGGGTTATAAGGGTTGTTCATTTGAATGACATTGTCCCACTTTCAATGTCACATTTGTTCAAATATGTATAAACATTTAAATGATCTATTCTAAATCAATAAAAGGTATAGCGTGGTGATATTTGGCAAGTTGCATGCTGAGATGAAGTGCTCTAAAGTTTGTTCAACTACGACCTAATTCGACTTTTTAGGTTAAAGGGGTCAAATTATTTTAAATCTTTTAAAAGGTTCTTTAGAATATCCTATATTCTTGACTAATGACTTTTAATCATTAATACTGATATTTTACCTGTAGCTTTATTTTATATCACTTTTAAGGTTACAAACGTGAGATTAATACCGGGTGAGCGATGCAGGTCCATTGAACCTCTTGTTTTAGTACGGATTAGTGCAAGTACGTACACTTAGTTGACCGTAACTAACATTACCGATTGGCGAATTAACGCCGGGATGTACTACGAATAAGTACGGATAATTACGGTTTATTTCGGACTACAACGGATTAGTACGTGGTATTACTGATCAGTAAGGATGTACTACGGTTGTCTGATCCTTGGTGAATTTTTGAACATGCTCAACAATTGTCATATTTTTGCAAGTGCTACATGTACTACGATTGACCCGGGATACAATACGGACATCTACGGACCACTACAGATTGGCACGAATGATGCCGGATCGTATCCTTGGCTAATCCGGCGTCTGATCTGTGAATGTGTGACCGGGACATCTTACAGTGCACACTATATAAATAAAACAATACGCACATATATTAAAAACTTTCTTCTTCGAAAACACTT